CCCGAGTAGCTGGATCTACCAAGGCTTCTGTGTGTGTGTGTGTGTGTGTGTGTGTGTGTGTGTGTGTGTGTGTGTGTGTGTACAGTGAGATGCATAATATATATAAAAGACTATTTGGTATGTTGTTGCCAAACTGACAGAACTGGTGTTTGTAATTTTGGGAGGGTGTTGATTTCGTCATCTTTTTTTTTAAATTTACCTTTTTTCCTTCTTGGTGTATGTTTGCATGTGTGGTTACAGTATGTGAGTGTGTTTCCCGACGTGGCGATTCTGCTGGTTTGGTCGCCACCGTGGGATAAAAGTCGAAAACGACACCCGTGTTGGTTTTGTGTTTACTGTTAGTTTCGAACTAACAAACAGGTTAATTATTATTATTAATATTATTACTGTTATTATATATTTTATACAGATGTTTGTATTGTTATTTTAGAGAAAATAGTGCTTTGAGAAAGACGCCAAAGAGTTTTATGTTTGTACGTATGTTGTAAGTTATGTGCCGACAATCATGGTCATGTTAAGCTGTACACAACCAACCAAGTGTTGACTTCAAACAGGCATTTCTGTGAACTTCAAACAGTATGAAGGTTTTTACAGTTGAATTCATGCAACATTTCATAAAGCAATAAAATATTCTAATGTAAACTGGCTCTGTGATCTTCCTCTTTGGTAAAAAGGGATTTTCTGTTACTGCTTTAAACAAATAACTGCAGGAAAGTGTTTCTGGTAAATGTCCTGAACCTTTTGTCCCACATTTGTCTCACATTGTCACTGGATCTCCTCGTTCCTGTCCTCTCGCTGCACCACAGAGAAGAGTGCTCTTCATTAATGAATACCAGAGCTGCATTCTTTTGGGTTCAACTTTCTCGGATGGCCTGCTCTCTTGTTCTCCTCTTGCCATGAAGAGCATGCTTGACATAGATCACATTCTCATAGGGACACGTAACCGTATATGTGACAAAGACAGGTTTCTCCGAGATTAAGCGCTAATGCCTTTTCAAAAATGTCTCTGTGCTGCCGCATCCACCTTGGCCAACATGTGCTGCATTCCTAAACCCCTTTATTGCCTCCCGTTTGACTCACGCCCAGAGGTGTTTATGAACTATTTCAGGACATGCCGCTGGATGTGAAGACGAGAGAGCTCGGTTATGTGGGATCTGTTTCAGGATAGGTTTCACTCACACACACTTGTGTATGAACTCACACATGCAGCTGTAAATGTCGCACTCGAGCAGCATTGACAATGAGACTTAGCAACGCAGTGGAACAATGAGAATGAATGTTCTCGTGTCACATGGTTCACCGGCCATCTCTCCACATGCAACGTGTGTGAAATCTCAAATATGGCTGCGGCAGGGAAGCTTTCACTTGTGACTGCCAAATGAAGCTAGGTTGAGGATGTAGTTTGCTTTGATTTATGACAATTGAAACATACAACACGTACTCGCTTGCTTTATCATCTCCAAACAGAGGTCATGTTTTCACCTCAGTTTGTTTGTGCAGGTTTACTCAAACTAATGAATGGATTTCCACAAAACTTGGCAGAATAATGGGCCAAGTAAGAAACCATTACATTTTTTGTCATTGTGTATTTTGTTTCATGGAGTAATTGCTACTTGTGATAAGAACAACCTAAGATGACAGACATTCATTTGACTTCATTCATTTTTCCTTTGGTCCACGTCTCATCCATTAACACGGAGGTGGTGGGAATTATGACCTATACTTCAGCTAACCACCGGATGGCGATTGATACACTTTGGCTTCACTTCTGAGGAGCAGTCAAGTCGTCCATCTTTATCAAAAACATATCTCTTAAAACGCCCTAAACAAACAATTGTCAAAGATTTTGAAACATCATCCTCCTCCACAACTTAGCAAGTGGAGGATAAATCCTGCAGCAGCTGAGTTTGCTGGCCGGATGGGGGAATATGTTAAAACACCTGAGCGTGCCCGGACTTGGACACAGAGGATACGGGCTGGTGAGATCACACGGATGCTTTTGACAGAGAGGCTTGTATGGGAAAACACAGAGCAGGATCTGGTGGTATGCAACGCCATCAATCTTATTTATGAATTGAGTGCTCTTATCTGGCTCACTGATGGGCAACATTGTGAAGACTTGCCAACATTCTTCTGTGAATTTGAAAGGCGGTCGACATGTTTCAACTGCAGCTCTCTCTCTTTCTCTCTCTCTCTTTCCCAGAATTTACATGATGAGGGAAAAGAGAATGTAAACACAAGTCTGGGGTCAAATTCCTTTGTGCTCAAAGCTCCAAGAGAATTAAAATTTTCTACACTTTTTGGATCCCACCCCACCCCTCCTTTTTCTGGCTCAGTCACATGGGAACTTTCATGACTGAATCTTCAAACGCCATGAGGGGAAGGGGTTTGTTGTTGTGTCAACACTGTTGTGTGCACTGCCGTGTTTTGTTGCCCCCATCTTGATGTTGACAGTTCAACAGCAATTTTCCTCAGAAGATTTACTCACTGGAGGATCAGCACAATCAGCAAATCCACTGATGGAGGAGACTAAAGAGGTGGTTATTGGAAATTGTCCTCGCTTCACATTGGTATTTGACCTTGTCTGTATGAGGCCAAACACTCAATGAGGAAACTCATCTAATGCAGTCAAATTATAAACAATAGCTGCTGCACGCACGTCACAATCATGCAGAAATAAACACAAGAATCAAGTGACTTTTGTGACAGTGTGAAGATAGAATGATTGACCGGCCTCCTCAGGGGAGATACAGAATAACTTGTCAGATACTCAGCAAGAAAACTCCCAGCAACAACGTAAATCCACAAAGTCCTGTCATGTGTTCCACGAGTTAAAAAAAGGGGTATATTTTGGGGCATTGCTATAATACATGAGCTGTGCCCAGAGTGAAGCAGTACAGTCCTGATGTTCTGGAACTTGTCAACACCTGCAACATGAGCTACACTGTCAAGACTACTGTTGAAGATGGTATTCCTGTTTGTTCAGGAGCCATATATTTACCCAGAGATTAATAAAATCAATTGAACGAGGTAAATATAATTTTCCCAGGGAGATTTACGATAACCTTCTTTTTCTATAATCTTTTATGGAAAGTAATAAAGCATTTTAGGTTTGTCGATAAGTTAATCATCATGTGAAAGATCTTCTGCAAGGAAACATTTGAGAGTTTGACCTGGACAGGGACGCACTCTGACAAAGAGGACAGGTGTGAAGCAGTTGGAGCCAGAATCCAATGACTGATATAAAAATTATTTGTAGCTGAACAGTGACACCTGCTGAGCTTCCCAGGCCTGTACAGCCGTACACATCTGCACTTGCCCACATTGAAACTTAAATGGAACTCAACATTAAAAGCCATGGATGTACTAATAAACATGTGATTATAAAATAATATGATACATGTTTAAGATGCACTACATGTTTTTTCTGTTTTTATGTCCGCGAAGGACCTTGGAAAGGTGTTTCTTGAAAAGGGCAATTTCAATAAAAAGTGTAATAATAATAACTATTATTATTATAATTGCTGTTGTTGTTTTGGTTGTTGCTATTATTAAGTCTATTGTTATTAAAATCATTATTAAGTATTGATTGCACAGTAAAATAGAAGATCACTCCACATGGAATATGTGTGCAGAACCCTATCTTTTGAATATTTAGTTAGTATAGTTATTTAAAACCATACAATGCAGAATGGCTTTTAATGGTGAATTTTCTGTATTGATTAATTCATTTTTTTCCCCAATATATTTTTATATTTAAACTTTTTTTTACTTTGCAGATGAAGACTGCATCTTATTTCTCAGTTATTAGTGTTTGTGCTTTTATTCCTTTTACTAGTTTTAAGTATTTTAGTTTTGCAGGATTAAAGTGCAGCTTTCAGAGTGAGCACACGCTTCAATCACACAAAAACAAGAAAGAAAGAAGATTTATAGTGGGACCATGTCAGACTGAGGACAAATCCTTTTTTCATGCCTACTTCTTTGCCATACTTCTATCCACCGTTCCACATGCCAGTCCTGTAGGTGGCGGTAATGCGCTTTTAACCGCCGATCAAATCTAAAGAAGAAGGAGAAGTTGCACCGCCGGTGACACCACACTGAGCGAACCCATCCACACTGCCACGCCCATTCAGCCATCACGGCTACTATAGCAACAGCGACAGTCGAAGTTGAGGCTGTGTCAGAGAAAACAGCCGAAACCCTGCACGTGCCTCCAGTAACAAACACTCACAACCACCCAAAGACCCAGACTGATACCCGGGATGTGCTCCGTCCTCGGCTGTGACTCGTCGCGTCGCTGTGCGAAGCGGTTCAAGTTACCGGAGGACCCAGAGAAGAGGCTGGAGTGGGTCCAGTTCCTCGCTGCAGCCAACAAGCAGCGTTTTAAAGAGTCGTCCTGGACCGACATCACCATATGTAGCGAGCATTTTAAATACGACTGCCTGGTGTATGTGGCTCCCACCGGCTCCGTCCAGCTGACGCCCGGTGCGGCTCCGTCTGTGTGTCTTCCGCCGAAGTCAGTCACACGTGCGCCGGACTTGGAGAGCTCGACACGTTCGGTGATTCTGCGCATTACACCCGATGCGTGTTCACCGTGCGTGACGAGGGACCACGGAGTAGCTCCTCCAAAAAGTGAAGCCAAAGTGTCTCGACCGCCCCCTGGTGGGTGGCTGCAGTATGAAGCGGCTTTAAGACGCACACTGAAGTCCGGAGGACTGGTAAGTTTGGTAATGATGAGTTATGAGTGAAACATCTTAGTTTTTGGCCAAGACTTCCTTGTGGTTGGTCGAGCTTATAGATCAGTGGGATGTCGCTGCTGCGCAGAATCTGGCTCCAAATGGGCAAAAAAGATGGCAGTGCTCATACCTGGTATATTTTGGCTTCAGTTTTGGACAGCGGGAGTAAGTGGAGATGAGTTGACCATCTTTAGCTACAGTCCATGGTTTGACTCAAGTCGTGGATATTTTAAAGCAGCACAATGTAACCCCCTCCCTTATTACCTTGTGTAGGAGCCTGAGGAAACCACAGAAGTTACTTCTCAGTGTAATCAACTTTCAAAACGCACCTACTCTGAAAAATCAAGACTGACTTCAATAGGTACAAAAATGAAATTAATTTTAGTATAATAACAAAAAAATGACATGAAGCATTTTCTCATGTGTTCTTCAAATGTAACTTTCAGGAGTCCTCGTCCCAAGAGGTGTCTCATGTCCAGCGGATACCTCAGATACTCAGGCGCAACCAAAGTATGTGAATGTTGATTTGGTACGACAAAAGTATGTTGTCTTGTTTAATTTGTGCCAAACATTTTACATACCGTTTTACAGCTTCATTTTTTATCATTCATTTCCAATTGATCAGAGCCACACTTCCAAAGATGAAGGATAACTTTGCTGTGAAGTTCAGTGCCAGTGTCCCCACAGCTGAAGTTCAACACCGTACAAAGGTAACTTCAGAGGTACAGCAACAGCAGTCAGATATTCTATAATAATAAATAAGATTAATTAAGTACAACATGCCAATCTGCAATGTCCACTTATATATACTATATGCTGTTGTATGCATCATTAGTTCAATTCACAAATCAAAACACATCATCTCCTTGCACCTTGTTGTATTTCAACCGTCTGTTTTACTGACTTAAAAAAGTTTATTTTAAATTGTGTCACAGGCTGCCCCGACAGATCACTCAGGATTCTCTGAGATTGTTGCTGTCATTGACCAGGGGGAGAATGAGGCCATGAATGAAACAGCAACATCGAGTGATCAGGGCGACGTGGATTCAGATGAGGACTGGAAAACAAATGATGAGGACACCGAAGATGATGATTTTGAGGAAATTATTAGTTATGGTTTCAGCCCCATAAACCATATGCTCTGCACAGAGTGCGGGAGGTTTTTCGGTAATCGTTGGCCTCACATGTGCGAGCACAAAAGGAAGCCCTATTCGTGCAATATTTGTGGCAAGAGATGTGTCAGTGAGAATGCCCTAAACAGACATAACCGAGTCCACAGTGAAAAATATGAGCACCGGTGCAAATACTGCCACATCACGTTCAAAACAAAGGTGGACAAAATCACTCACGAGCAGATCCACGTAACTGAAGGAAAGCCCTATAAATGTTCTGAATGTTCAGAGAGGTTTGCCTCAAATAAGGATCGCCAAATCCACCTGGACAGTCACAGAGACCCCAAGGATTTAAAATGCCACATCTGTGGGATTGAGTTCCTCTGGTCCCGCTCGGTTGAAAGACACTTGGCTGTGCACACAGGTCTAAAGCCGCATAAGTGCACAGAGTGCGAGCGCAGCTTCAGTCAGGCGAGTCACCTCAAATCTCACATGCGCCTGCACACGGGGGAGAGGCCTTTCAAGTGTCAGCATTGCAGCAAGTGCTTCAATCACAATGTGAGCTTAAAGAGTCACGTCCTGCGCTATCACACATCAAGCTCTGGGTTTGACAAGAATAATGAAAAGAAAAAAGGAAGAGCAAGGGACAGTAGAGTTGCTCGTGGTAAATTAAAAAAAAGAGGTGAAGACTCAGAGTGTGACCATGTAGAGGAAGAACAGGATACAGAAGAGGAAGTGAAGGATAGAATGTATAGACCGAAAAAGAGAAGTACAGGCAGACCCATTGGAAGGCCTAAGAGCAGTGCAGCAGCTAATTTAGTTGTGGCAATTCAATTGGAACGTACACGTTCAAACAACAAGGCTCGAAAACTGCAAGTGACGAAGTCACAGAGAACACAATGCAGCAACGAGGAAAGTGAGAACGAGCCGACTGACAGCGACATGAACACCATGGATTCAGCTGGGGAGGGAGGGAAGAAGAGCAGGGTTGAAAAGAACACAACAAATAATTCTGACAATAACTCTGATTTCGAGCCAGAAGGTCGAAGGAAATAAAAATACAGCAGCCAGACGGGAGGTGACAAGTCAGGGAAGCACAGGGGGTGGTCTGAATGAAGTGGTTGATATGAACAGAATAGAGAATTGTGTTTCAATAACTGTCAACAGAGAGAATCAATATAAAGAAGGTGTCCATACAGAAATGGACTTATTTCCTAAAAAATGACAAACTATGACATATGAGTCGTGTTCAGAGAATCTGATGCTTTCATATCAAAACCTGTTTTAATCTTAATCACTGATGTGTGTTCCATCGAATCTGACTGGATAAAAGTATATTAACCTGGACTGTTGTTAAATGTCTGTGTCTTTCTGCTGTAAAGTTCCGATTCTTTCATAACATGTGTAAACTGCTTGAAAGGTTGTCAAGTATATATTCATAGATAATATATATATATATATATATATATATATATATATATATATATATATGTATATATATATATTTTCAAAATAATCTGTATTATTTATGTGTTTTGTTTAGTCATTTATTCAGAGCTGTATGTTAAGGTAATCTTATGAGACCTATATTATTTATATATATAATTGTTTTTTAATTATAATCTAATGAGAGCTATATGAGTGATGTATTTTTACTTTTGGTATTTGATTATTATAAAGATTCTGCTCTGATCCTCCGGTACGCCAGGGGGAGTCCCAAACTTAGAAGTTAACATTGTCAGCGACAAAAGAAGAACCGTATAGCCCCGCCCCCTCCCTCATCACCAGCAGTAATGGCTGCCGTGTAGCTCCTCTCTGTGGACCTTGGTCAGAGACTCAGTCCGACCACCACCTTCCAGTCCCCGTGAACCTCCAACATAACCCGGTGTGACCTCTTCGATCAGCGGGGTAGGGTCTGGACCTGTCGCCGGGATGTGCTCCGTCCTCCGCTGCGGTTCGTCGCGTCGCGGTGCGCAGCGGTTCAAGTTGCCGGCGGATCCAGAGAAGAGGCTGGAGTGGGTCCAGTTCGTGTTCGAGGCGAACGGACAGCGGCTCAAAGAGTCGTCCTGGACCGACATCACCATCTGCAGAGAACACTTCACTGATGACTGCTTCGGTAAAACTAAGAGCGGCTCTGTTCAGCTGAGGAGCAGCGCTGTACCATCACTGTGCATCAAGACAGAGCCCGAGGAGGAGGAGGAGCAGGTGGAGGTGAAGCCTGAGTCTGAGGTGAGTCTCAACCAGAGCTGAGCAAGAAAACAATATCAATAATCATCTGTTGCAATATAATCATCAATAGTTATGTGACAAAAGTACATGTTGACATACTGGTTCTCCATTGTCCTGCACAGTTAGGAGGCAAACACATGATTGATCTACATCAGATAAAATGTTTTCTCTGCTCATAAAGAAAAGTTTAAACCCACAATCATCTCTCAGGAGCATCTGTCTTTAAAGGTTCAGTGTGTAGAGTTCAGTGACATCTAGTGGTGAGGATGCATGTTGCAGCTGAATACCCCTCACCTTACCCTCCCCTTCCCAACATGAAGGAGAACCTCAGTTGTCATATGTAAAAAAACACGGTGGCCTCCGTAGAGAGGACCCAAGTATTCAAATATAATCTTGATATCGTTTTTGGCCACATGGTGCAGCCTTATAGTCTCTACACACCGTATCAACAAAAATACTAGAGACAGCAGCAGTTGACACTGTAGGGTTTGTTCCTGCATCAATTCCATTTCAATTTCAATAAGCTTTATTGGCATGACATCCACATGTGCAGCCAAAGCACAACTTTATTAGATTTACAGAAGCTTATTAACAATTACAATGTTAGATAATGGGATAAAAACAGATTGAACAAAATATGCAGTCTAAGTAATAGAATTACTCAAGCTTGAACTACATAGAAAAAGAAATGAAAATGGTGAGACTCAGTTGATCGTGTTGTAATACCTGTTTTATTATTATAACATCTATATTATAAATATCTCATGATGTATTTCAGTAGAAATGTTTGTATTGACTTGCCTCTTCGGTACAACCGGCTCTATAATGAGCACTTAACGTAACTCGAGCACTTTGATCTACTTATGTTCCAGTAAGAGCTTCTACTTTTGTTCACGTGCAGGAGCCTGTGGAAATCTCAGAATTTGATTCCCAGTGTGATCAACAACAATCCGACAGTTCTGAAGAATCAATATCACCAGACCATACCACTACTCTTCGTAAGAAAATTCAAATTGTTGTGTTAACAAAAAATTAGTTAGATATATACTCAAATAATATCATATGAGGTATTGACTCTAAATTACATTTACAGATGTGCCAGTTAGCCCGGTGCCAAGCCAAACTCCTGAAGAAGATTATGTTCAGATGCTGAAAAAGGTTAAGAATGTTGATATAATCAGGGAAAAGTAAGTACTTACATGGATTACAACAGGTTACGGTTTTAAAACCTGGATCTTGTTTAACTATTTCATTGAACTCTTTATTTTTCAGAGCTTCACTTCTCCAGATGAAGGGAAAGTATGTTGTGAATGAAAACCGTCTCCTCCAGTTGTTTGGCAGTAAGTGCCCTTTATGTGATTGTAATGTTAAGATGGAGAAGACTATCCATGGCGGACTCATCGTTGTGAAACGGGAGTGCCTCCAGTGTAAATACAGACACCAGTGGAAAAGCCTGATCGGTGTCGGTGTCCAAGGAGTTGAAGGTCAACACCTGACATACGACACAAAACTAATTTCAGAGGTAAGACATCAGTGATCGATATCGATGTCTATGTAATAAATAATAAATAAAACTGCAATTTTAGTTATGTATACAGTTAATTGCTCTGGTGGCTCTAACAAGATGAATACTTTGTTTTTGCACCCATGCATTGTTTGGCTGTAATATTCAAAACTTCCAACTGTGCTGCACAGACTAAAAGGTTTGATTTACCCACAGTCTGAGGAGAGCGATCATATGAACCATACGGAGGAATCGAGTGATCCGGGTGCTGTGGATTCAGATGAGGACTGGAAGCCGGCAGAGGAGCATTCACTGCCTGCTGAGCTTCATAGTGGATCTGATGAGACTGAAGATGACAATGATGATGTAAGCAATTGTTACGTATTCGCGCCCAACCATAGCGAGCTCTGCACGGAGTGTGGAAAGTTTTTCAGTAAACGTTGGCCTCACACGTGTGAACACAAAGCAAAGCCCTATTCCTGCAATATTTGTGGCAAGAGATGTGTCAGTGTGGTTGCTCTAAACCGACATAGCAGAGTCCACAACGAAAACTATGAGCATCGGTGCAAATACTGCCACAGAACGTTCAAAACAAAGGTGGACAAAATCACTCACCAGCAGATTCACGTAACCGAAGGAAAGCCCTATAAATGCCCTGACTGTTCTGAGACCTTTGCCTCGAACAAGGATCGTGAAATCCACCTGGAGGATCACAGAGGCCCCAAGCAGTTAACATGTCCCTTTTGTGGCATTGAATTTAACCGTACCCTGTCTATTCAGAGACACTTAATGGTTCACACAGGTCAAAAGCCGTTCAAGTGTTCTGAGTGTCAACGCGGCTTCAACCAGGCAAGTCATCTCAAATCTCACATGCGCCTGCACACGGGGGAGAGGCCTTTCAAGTGTCAGCATTGCGACAAGTGCTTTAATCACAATGTGAGCTTAAAGAGTCATATCCAGCGTTATCACACTTCCAATCCTGTGCATGAACGAAAGAGGGGCAGAAAGAGCAAAACTGTGAACACTGAAGCAACTGATTCTCAGGAGAAAGCGGAGGAGAGATGGGCAGAGCCAGAGCCGGAGGAAGAGCTTGATGAAAAAGAGCCGTTACAGAAGAAGAGAAAATTAAAGCCAAGAAGCAAAAGGAGCACAGGTAGACCCATAGGAAGGCCTAAGAGAAATTCGGAAGAGAATTTGGCCCTGGAAGGGGAAAATCAAGACCTGGGTTCAAACACAGAGACCGGAAAATCAAAGGCATGGACGTCAAAGACAACAGAGGGCAGTGATGAAGAGAGCGATGACGAGCCGCCTGAAAGCAACATGTCTTTTGACTCAAATGAGGAGGAGGATTTTAGGAGTGAGAAAGTAACATCAAGCCCAAGCAGATCAAGAGGAAGCCCCAGAATGTCTGACCCAGACACTGACTTTGACCCAGAAGAATCAAAGGAAGAGGAAGAGCAGATGGAGCAGACGCTTGAACATTAAACTGCACTAAACTATTTCCCCTTTTGTGAAAGCAACACTGTGTAACTTTTTTACCTTCAAATAGCAGCTTTAAAATGACTTTGATGGTTCACTGACTTAGATTAGGAACGGTGCTTTCTTTCCCACTCCTCTCCCTGAACGCTGTTTTCATGTCACTTTGATGAATGGGTACTGTGAGAAGTCTGTTGACTGATTCATTCAGTCACAGTTTAAATTGTCTGAATCAAGCCCAGCAATTTAAAGAGTAATGCTGAACTTGAGATCAGTTAAAAAGACGCAGACATTATTAAATACTTGTGTTTAAACTCCAGTTTTCAGCAAGGAACCTTAAAATATCAAACATTTAAACAAAGTTTGTTTTATTTGTTACATCGCCAGCTCTTCTGGTTCAGGAAGCTGGGGATGATGGGTAATATCCACAGTGCAGTGCTCAGGTCAAGTGATTATCTCTGTTTTTATCTGAGCCCAACACAAGTAATCACGATGTGCGGCTGCAGGGGTCGCTGTTGCTCATCAACAATTACCATGCGTTGTTTTAGGAGAAATATAATTTAGTGAGTGTCATACAGAACTGGACTGTTTCCATTATAGATCTATGGTCTCACAATCAGGTATGATGACAAACTAAACTATTTGTTTGCTAGGGGATAATCTCTTGTCACTTTCCAGATACTTTGAATCCTGTTAACTGATCAGACTGAATATAAGTATAGATTAAACTGAACTGATGTGAGGTGCCTGTGTTCTTTTGTTTCTTTTATGTCCATGACAAGGACATATACTGTCCATGAAAATGATCTGTGTTAACTGGACACAGGAGCCACATCCAGAGTGATTATTTCTGAAGTGGTCACCAGTTCCTTCCATTATATCCATGTTAAGCCCATTGCTAGAAACCTAAAAAGAACACCAACACCCAAAATGCACTGGGCTCCTAGCCTTCCTAGGCCACGCCCAGGTCGTTCCTATTGGTTGACCTCGACAAGACCTCCGGGTGTGTTTGTAAATGTTGGCGGCGGGTGGGTAGTTGGCGGCGGGTGGGATGCGGGGCTCAGGTGTCGTAGGACCGAGAGGTTCTGGGTCAACATCTCGGGCAAGTATGGTCTCGACCTGCATTGTTCCTGAGTGTAAGGACTCGAAGAGGAAGCGTCTTGCCGGGGTGAGGTATCACCGGTTTCGAGTGAGCTGTCCCAGCCTCTGCAGGCGGTGGCTGAAGGCGGCGAATAACCTGAAGTACGGCGGGAACACCGCGGTGGCAGCTCTTAGAAACCTGCGGGTGTGTAGCCTCCATTTCAGACCGGAGGACTACGAGCGGAACGTGTTGGACCAAACCGTCAAGAACCTGAAGGAATGCGCCGTCCCGTCCATTAACCTGGGTGGGGGGGGGGGGACCGGGACCACCTGTCAAACCAGTCCGCACAGGTGGGTCTGCTGCCGGGGTGGTTCATGTCCTAATAATATGACTCTGATGTCCTCTGAGTTAAAGAAGCATCACTGATGAACTGATGAACCCATTCACAGGACTGAAGCCAGGCCCGTCCTGCACAGCCCAGGCCCCGCCCACCCGCCACAGAAACGAACACAGAGGTATGACTGAGGAGCATGTAACTGTTTTTATACTTCACACCAACCACACCAACCCGAGTTCGTCCTGGTTGTCTCAGAAAGGTGCTAATGGTGGCGAAGGGACTGTTTGAACGTGAACACACACTGAGGCTACAGCCGGGATACGCTCGGCTTAAAAAACAAGCGAACCCGTCCTTATGTCCCCGCCCATTCCGTTTGCCGTCTGCTAATGAAGGCTAACTGTTAGCTAGCGTGTTCACACTGCCGTCTGCACTTCAACTCAGTCCAGGTACTGTTTTTACACACACAGGGACCAGGCTAATACCCGGGATGTGCTCCGTCCTCCGCTGCGGCTCGTCGCGTCGCGGTGCACAGCGGTTCAAGTTGCCGGAGGATCCAGAGAAGAGGCTGGAGTGGGTCCAGTTTGTGTTCGAGGTGAACGGACAGCGGCTCAAAGAGTCGTCCTGGACCGACATCACCATCTGCAGAGAACACTTCACTGATGACTGCTTCGGTAAAACTAAGAGCGGCTCTGTTCAGCTGAGGAGCAGCGCTGTGCCATCACTGCGCGGGACATCTGAGCCAGGCGACCGTGTGGAGAACCCCCGGTCTGTGGTGAGTGCTGCTGGGACATCTGTGGTCCACATCTGCTACCGTCCATGTCCTGCTCATTCACACACACACACACACACACACACACACACACACACACACACACACACACACACACACACACACACTCTCTCTATAGTTGCAAAGACACTCCTAGACATAATGCATTCCCTAGCCCCTTACCGTAACTTTAACCATCACAACTAAATGCCTAATCCCCCCCCCAAAAAAATTCTCACCCTAAAATCAAGTCTTAATCCTCAAACAAGCCTTTGCAATTGTGAGGACCGGCCAAAATGATCTTGCAGTGTTTGTATTGAACCAGAATCGGCCCTCATAACTATAGAAAGACATGCACACACACTACACACACGAGAGAGGACTTTACATTAACTTACTCTAACTTCAACCATTGTTACTTCTTGCATAAAATATGTCTTCACCTTGTAAGTTAAACGATTCACATTATAGGGACAGATCTACAGACAACATAAGTTATACCTGGACCACACACACACACACACACACTGCAGGTTTGCACAGCTCTACTTATTTGGACTTTGCATTGACTTCTATTCAGTGTGGACAGTTTGAAACTTTATCCCCAACCTCAATCCAACCACATTTCATGTCTTCGAGTCGTGCGTCTCCATGACTTCAGAGGACATTCCATTGACTTGCATTCATATCCTGGAGACTAAACCTCAACCCGAATCTTAAAAGGGGTCTTTTTATGGTAACTTGCTTTTTGTTCCAGTCCTCATGATGTGACCGTGCAGAGTTAGATGTATTTACTTATTACATAAGGAATACATTGACACCACACACACACACACACACACACACACAGAGCTGTCATATATTTATATATAAAGTCACTTAAAGCTGCTGTGTGTGGTCATTCAAATACATGTGTGTTGTACTCTCCACTCCCTGTTTTTAACTTAAGTTTTTCCTCCTGTGATTTTGTGCAGGAGCCTGTGGAGACCACAAAAGTCTCTTCCTCCTCTGAAAAATCAAAACACACCTCAACTGGTAAGAAACGTAACACACACAGTGGAATTAGAAGATTAAGTGGGTATGTATGTTTGAAGTGGCGCGGTGGTTCAGCGGTTAGTTAACATCATCACCTCACAGGATTTTGCCTGGCTGGGGCCTTGATGTGTGGAGTTTGTGTGTTCTCTGAAGTTGGGAACTTTGTTTTGAGTGGTAGAGTCTCAGTGTCATGTTTGCCTGATGTTTCAGATGTGGTCACCACCGGATGTGGACCACAAGAACAAAAGGTTTTGAACAAGGACAAGTAAGTTACAATTTCTCAGCATTTGTCTTTGCTTTTTAAACATGCAGCTCAAAAAGCTTGATTTTGATTGTTCATTTTTTTCAGAGCTGCAGCTGTACAGATGAAAAAATATGATGTGAGTGAAACCCACCTGGTCCAGTTGCTTCATCACAAATGTCTGTCATGTTGCTGTAAGCTTGACATGGAGAAGGTCACCTGTGGGGTAGTGATCGCCTTGAAGCAGCAGCGTCATTGGTGTGAATACAGAAACCATTGGAAAAGCCACGTCAATGCCAGGTTACCAGCAGATGGATTAAAGGGATAGTTCACCCAAAAATTAATATGTACTCAATACTCATTATCTACTTCTGGAGTATCAGGGGTAAACAGTGAAGCAGCCGAATCCAATACAACTGAAGAAATGAGTGACCTATCTTCGTAAAGAAACAAAACATGCCTCCATACTTCTCATGTGGTGTCATACAAGTGTCCGGAAGCCCCGACATTCAAATTTGACTTGAAACAAAAATTATTTTTGAGTTAATCGGGATTAAGGCCTGTTCTTCAGTAACAACAGACACTGAGGAGCCGATGTCTCCAGTTGTTCGGTGAGTAAACTTTTAACATCTTCACATTTTCTCTGTGCTCCACAAACATTTGAAAACTGTGTTTCTATGTGTTCTTACTAGAGAAGAGGAAACTGTTAGCATGCTAGTTAATGTCCCAGTGAATGTGAATTACGATGCTTGCTCGCTAGTTAGCTAGTTAGCTGATAGCTTTGCAATGCTGGAGGGCTGCTAACATGTGTTAACCAGGTGTTAAACTTAAGAGTTTTGTTGTGATTACTGCTGTATGCATGTCTAAAGTGAATCAGGTGAAAAGTTGTGTGTAAGTCTAAGTAGTTATGTAGTGAAGCTTTCAGATGATACTCACTGTAGGGTAAACAGACAGTAAGTTAACTACATTGGATTTTCATGATTGATTCAGTTTTGTGATTTCTCCTGGGCTGTGGATGTTGGATTTCTTGGTGCCAGTGTCTTCATGTCTAATTCAATCTGATTCTTTAATTCTGAAGTGATAATGTCTGATTGTTACCAACTAATTCATGAATTAATTACATTTCTCTCTGCTGACAGGCTTTTGTATGGTTTTACTTTTTAATCATCCACGAATCTACCAGAGGCCGAAGGACTGAAGCTTTAGTTGATGATGATGTGAAACCAATGGACCTTATCCAACGATCAAATGACTGATATCAACAGAAGGAAGACGTCATGTGTGGGGCAGAATAGTTGGTGCCATTCTCGATAACAACATCCTTAATTATTCGACATGTGATGATGTCGATAAACCACCTTCAGGTTCCTCTGAGATGACAGAACAGAACTTTGTGTTTGATTCTCTTTATTCTCAGATTCAGTTTCTTACCTTTTACTTAATTTCTGCAGTTTTTAGAGGTGGTAGTAACATTTCTAAAACATAACTTATTTACCTAGAATTAGTAAATGGATCAACTTCAGCAGTCACAACCTTCACAGGTAAGTGTTCACCGATGTGACATGAAGAGTCCTCAGTCGTAAGCAGCTGGAACTGTACAACCAGACTTCTATAACAAATGTTTTCTGCTGTTAACACTTTAAAAGTATGTATCAGAATACAAACTATGTTTACTTAACCTCTGATATTTGTGATTAAACTGTACTGAGTACATTTTCCATTGACTACAGATGACTTGCCTGGTTTTTGCACATTTACCTTAACTTTGCTTATAATAAATCAAACAGGACACTTTGGTGAATTCATGTTTTCAGTCATTAAATGTTGTCTCAACTTAGATCTTAACTATCAATGATTGATTTGATTAAAACCAAAATTTAAAAGGCCTGTAATTAATTTTAAATTTCAAAAACACATTCATCAAATTATTTTTGTATGATTACGATACCGTGCATGTTGCTGCTGTGAATTTTTACCAGATGCTTCTTAGAACCGTGAATAATAAAATAGTTTCATACATAACTTTATTGCAGATTAAACTGAATTTATTTATAATCCAACAAAAATGAAATACAGTTGTCACAGTAGGATCAAGATAAACATGATCTTCACTGTAGGATGATTACTCTCGTGCTTGATATTTAGTGAGTATAATTTACAGTAGAAAAGTTAGAATTGAGAGCTGCTCTTACATTTAAAATATTTAACAGAGTCTGAGAAGCCAAAAGAATTCTGACACAAATCTGCCTCACGTCTCTTCCTCCAGGCAGGTGCACCTCACAATTTGAAATGTCTGATTAAGAACAATCTTTAAATAGTTCCTTGCTTGTGCTTCCTTTTTTGTTATCTGGCTGTAGTATTCAGCACTGTTAAGACTTTAAAAAGTTAAAGGTTGTCATTCTTGTCATTGTCTTGTTCACAGGCAATGCCAACAGATAACATCCCCAGCAGTGCAGACGCCTTTGCGATTATCACTTTGAGCGATGAAGAGACCGTTAAAGACAGCAATCCCTCGGATGAAGAGGAGAGTGGTGATGAAGGTGGGCGGAATTCAGACAGTGAGTGGAATCCATTGGATGTGATTTTTCTGGAAGAGGCATTCCTTCAGGACTCTGAGGAGGAAACCGAAGATGAAGGCGAAGAGGACGAAGATTCCCTCAAAATTAACGAGCTCTGCAATGAGTGTGGATGTTTTTTCAACTCTCTGAAGCCTCACACATGCGAACACAAAATCAAGCCCTTTTCCTGCAATATTTGCGGCAAAAGATGTGTTTCTGAAGGTGCTCTAAAAATTCACAGCAGAGTCCACTGTGAAACCTATGAAATTCCTTGCAAATACTGCCACGTTACATTCAAAAGAAAGGTGGACAAACTTAAACACGAGCAGATTCACGTGGACAGAAACGATCCCTACAAATGTCCTGACTGTCCAAAGATATTTCCCACCAGTAAAGCGCGCAGGATCCACCTGTCATACCACAGAACGTCAAGGGAGTTCAAATGTGGAGTTTGTGGGTTTGAATTTAAGGATATACATCATCTTCGGAGACATTCTGTCGTGCACACAGGTTTGAAACCATACAAATGTTCGGTGTGCGAACGTGGGTTCAACCAGGCGAGCAACCTCAAATCCCACATGCGTGTGCACACGGGGGAGAAGCCATACAAGTGTCCGCATTGTGACAAATCCTTCAATCACAATGTGAGCTTGAAGAGTCATGTCCAGCGTTGCCACTCGTCCAGGTCTGGGCATGAGCATAATATGTGTAAGATCAGTGAAAAGGTGAGCAGCGCTAGTGACGCAGAGGACAATGATAATAAGAGAGGTGCTGGTTCTGAGTCTGACAATGCAGACAAACAAGACCCAGGAGAGACGAGGCAGAAGGACACGACAGGTTTGCCAAAACGTTGTAGGAGCCGCACAGGGAGATCCAGAGGAAGGCCTAATTCAAACCCAGATTTTAACTCTGTTCTTTCAGGGCAAAATGAAGACCAGTGTTCGAAGACTTCAAAATCAAAGGGAAAGAAGCTAAAGAAAGGTGTTGCCAGCGATGAGGAACGTGAGGGGATGCAATCGGACAGCGACACATCCGTCCACTCAGAAGAGGAGCAGGAGCAGAAAGCAGAGAGGACCACGGGGACAGCGAGAAGACGACCAAAAAAGGACGATGACGGTGATTTTCACCCAGAAGAAGAAAATGAAAATAAAAAGTGTAAGAGTAGCGGTAAGAGGAGGGGTAGATGAAGGAAGAAGATAGTGGGCTGAAATTTCTGTAAATACACAGAATCAATTAATTAATTTGATGTTAGGAGTTCTGAAAAGCAAGGAGACAAGAAGGCCACACAGAACTTGATCGATATATAGTAGATATATGAAAACAAAACATCAGATGAGGGTCATTCATTTACACTGTTATCACTTTACAACAATATAAATACTTTTAGTGTTGCTAAAAGTAGAAGAAAGATGTATTAAGTATTAAGCTCGTCATGGCAGCTTTTAGCAATGACACAAACCCTCCTGGGCTCTGGGTGAACGTCAGTTTAAGTTAAAATAATTACAAACTCCCTTTGGGAAATCTGAGTCAGACAATAAACAAAATAAAGAATTTTGTTTTTTTTAAAGCATACTCTTCGTTCATAGTCAGCATTGTGAAATGAATACTGACAGATCAAACTCAAATAGTTTTAAGGTACAGGCACTGTAATAAAGTTGGTTGCTATTTCTTTTTTGTCAGTATGAAGCTGAAAAACTAAATGTCAAGATTTTTCAACCAGTAGTGGAAGGAGAAAAATGTTTTAGTTCACAAATCAATAGTACAGAATTTTAATCGCTGGCCTTTGAATTGGTAGACACAAAAGGAAGGTTTGGTATTTTCGCTGGATTGTAAGTTCTGGCACCAAATTGTATCCCATTAAAAAAAGAATATCATACATTTTGGATTGATCTGCTTTTTTCCCAGGATTCACGTCAGCATCTTATCAAAATCAACTGAGACACTGACCAAGTCGTAGATGAACCGTTTATCCATCACAGTGATGTAAAATAAAGAGAGCGATGGTTTTGAAACTCCCTTTGACATTTCATGGCGTTCTGACATTTGAGAGTTCTATGATTTTTATGATGCCAGTGCTGGATCACAGATTGTCTTCGGACTTGAATCCCCCACTATCCTTTTTTCCCTGACAGATCAGATTTTAAACCTCAGCGCTCCCACTGGAGAGGGCTGAGCAGCAGCCCCTGCTTGCAATGGTGTTTAATGAGAATGTGAAAAACAAATTCATAAATAAGCTAGAATGGCACTCAGTAGAACACACAGCTCTGCCAAGGTCCAACTGCTCCTTTAAATTAAATCAAACTGCATCAAATTGCACAAGCTCAAACCTTTTAATATGAAGACCCGGGAATAATTCATGGTCTGTTCTATTGTGACCCCATGGAGTCGTCTCATCCTTTCATTCAAATTTAATGAAAATGTGTCCAGTAGTTTTTGCGCTGTCCTGCTGACAAATAAAACAAGCAACAGATGGGCAAAAACATAACCAGAGTAATGAATAAATATAATGCTGAAGGGATCATTACTGTTTTGAATCAACTAGCCTATGTCTCTGCTTGTTAATTGCACACTTAGAAACTCTCCCTAAAATAGCTGCAAGTATATTAAATATGTGCAGTTTTTTTATGCTGAATAAATGGTGTTGGCCTTCAAGGGTTTGCAGATTTGCAGAAATTTGTCGATGAGGTTATTCACATTTCTACCTGAAGAACTGAATCATACGAAACTATGTGGCAAACTCCAGCAGAGCTGTTGTGGGTTGAGTCTTCTGCCAAAGGAGTAATAACAACAGAACTGTCTTTGGATTTAAGCATCTGGGGGATTTATCTGGTTTCACAGTTCCCACTTTGATCCGAACCCCTGAACAACTCCACACCCCCTGCTTACATGTTTATAGTTGCTCTCTTTGCCATTTGTTAAGCTTGCTTCAAGGCTCATCAAGTTTTTCCTAAGTGTCATCGGATTTGTGACTTCCTGTTGCTGGTTAAGCCCACGGCTGCTTCCTGGATTAGACATGCTGATAGTTGGCCTAACTATGAGAGAAGAGAAATCAAAATAAGGTCTTTGACTTTTAATGAGCTACGGGTCTCGGCACTGCTGGGATGTTCTGGTGCGTAAAAAGCTGTCAGTTTATTTATGGATGAGTTTGAGCATACAAGTAGATTTCAGTGGTGCATCTGTAAATATCTACTGCTCAGATGCATTAGCTTTAGATGGAAGTGACAAAAGAACAAGACAGAATGCCAAATGAAATTCTGATTAAATCCAGATCCAATTTGTCGTGACGCTGAGAAAACATGTTTTTGTCTGATTGGACTTTTACCCATAGTAATCATTTTCCATATGATGTTTATAAATCAGTGAACATTTCACAGTGCAATTTGGTAAAAACAAATGAAATGCATGTGCTGTGATGGCAAAAATGAAAACAAATGTATTAAAATATCTGATGTAGGTATTCAATTAATCGGATTCATCATATTAATCATTTGAGAAGATCAGCAAAGAGAAAGTCATTGTGGATTTTCCAGTTTACAGCACAGAATGTTGTGATTAATATTTAAGAGTTGAAGTGTTTCATTTATAGCTGAGTCAATTAATTGAATGTCAGCGAATCATAATAATAATATATGATAATCTTAAAAACTTGTTTCTCTTTTCGTAGCATAAACAGCAGCTCAGGGTTTTTTACATGAACACAGGAGTGAAAACAGCAGAAGCTTGAAAACTTTTCTTTCACATTTAGCTTCAAACATTCAAAGATTTGTTTCTTTGTCATGTTCAAAAGAGACATTTACAAATTGAGGACTGAGGGTTGAATGAAAGAAGAAGTTCACTTTGAGCTTTTGGAACAAAAAGGACATTTTTCACTGCTTCATTTCATCCCAAACCTCTGATTTGAGATAATTGTCACATTAATAAACTATGGCCTCTTAGTCCACGAGGACAGTTCTATTATTTTAATGGTAAATTAAAAGTGTCCTGCTATTCACAGGAAAACCACTAGATGGCCTCCCTCTGCCAGAAATACAGACTGGTTTCCCTAAAACATTAGTTGGGATCAGAGCCCTCCTTCCTACAGCACACACTCAGCTACTGTGGTAAGTTTCATGTCTCTCACAGTACTCGAGCTGGTCTGGGTTGCGGTTGTCTCCGTCCTCTTATCGTTTCCTCTGCTCTTGCTCTCTCCTCCTGTAGGAGAACACATTATTATCTCTCTCTCTCATTGTCTCTCCCACTCCTCTGGATGGTTATGCAGATATCCCAGGGGGGAGTTAAGATGTATTTTGTAGCTTATATGACACCTGCTGGGGATTGCAAAAAAGATGCATTTGCTAACATCACAACATCATAGTACAAATATAACGTCTGTTCGATCATGGCTGTATTACTTTCCTCCTCTGTTTTCTCTTTTCACTCTGTCCTCTTGTCTCTCTCCCTCTCTGGGCGTGATGATGTGGTGAACCAATCTGAGCTGCTCTCTGTTGACAGAGGAGTAGATTGATGCTTTGAGGCAGACTTGACATGAGCAGTGCATCATGGAGAATATACAGTGACTGTTCTGGCACGAGCTGCAGCCATCGGGGTGAGGATCATATTTATTTGGCTCAGTATAAATTCACTCATGAGGATTCACAATATTTAGAGATGCAGAGTTAGTTAGACAGGAAAATTATGGGAGAGAAATGTGGTAAAATAAACTGAGCAGAGATTAGAAAGTAAAGAGAATAGGAACAAGTAGCCAAACAAACAGTGCTCCTTTGCTTTCTAGTTTCTGTGTGTGTTAAAGAAATCAGATTTGAGAAGGTTTCCCATATGGGAACTCCAATGTTTGCTAAATGTCATAAGCCAAACCGATACTATCCCGTCTGGGCCACCTGACATTTTCTTCCTCATCATTTCCCAGAAAACATTACCTGGTTGTTTATTGAAATGCACTTGGCTTGCCACATTGTTTATCCACTGCTCTCCTTGCTTTAGTATCACATCTGCAAGTGAGCTCAAATAATTGTCACCTTTTAGGGACATATGCTCAATCACCCTTTGTCTCAAAGGTTAGATGCATGGACTGCATATAATGATGGATGGATCTTGATGAAAAAAGAGGACTGTTGGGCCTTTTGTTTTTCACCTGTTTGTTTGATAGTTGGCAGGATTCAATCCCCGAAACGGATTACCATGAAATGTTGTGGAAGGATGCGATATGGATCAGGGATTGGGTCAAGTAATCTTTCCGTAATCCTGCTAACTAAGAAAGAAAGAAACAAACAAAAGCAGAAAAAAAAATATCCTCCTTGGCGAAAGAATTGAATACATGGCTCTGCTTGCTATCTGTGCAGGTTGTTGCAAAGATATTCCTTGTTGCGTCTCTTCCTCTGTAAAGTTTCACTGCGGTACTGTCACTGTCATGAGGTGTTTATCAATCACACAGCATTTATATTCCGTTATTTATCATAACCCCAATCCTCCCTCCGCCCCCTATCTGTGCAGAACTTCCCCATCAACAGTGCAATCACTTGTCTCCTGCTATATCCAGCCTAGTTGAGTGGCAGGTATTAGTTCCCCCCCACACCCCTAGTCTCAGTGCAGCATCGTCAATCAAAAACAGCAGGTACGTCAAGGGTGTCAGCAAGTTTTCTCCCTGAGTTGTGTTAAGTGTTAGATCTTTGTCAGAGATGAGCATAAATTTAATGCGAGAGCGCCTCTCAAAATCCATACTGTTGGCAGTTTTGGATTTAAATCCAAACTTGATACCAACACTCAACTTTTTCATCCTATCTGTGCTTGTCAGATCATCAGCTCTGCCTCTGATGTATCTACCTTTAATGATATAAACCATCTTTGACAGACGTTTACTTAGATTTTTTAATTTAGTGCTATCCAATAACATGGAGGAGGCAGGGTTTACTGCACCCGGCCACCAGGTGATGATAAGATTCTTTCTCCATCTTTATATAATGTCTATGGTTTGCTCTAAAATGTAAGACATGCCAAGCAAGGCAACACACATTTAAACTTTAAATTATTCCTCTGACTCTCCTTCACACTTTCACGGTTTTCTCACTGGAGGGACATTTGCCTAGAAATGAGAACAGAGACAGACAAGAGGAGAGAGTAAATATGTTTTCTATTTGAGATTTGACATTTACTTGTTGTTCCCTCCCATCAGATGTCATTTAAATCTAAAAACGTTTATCAACCCCTGTATGTTAATCTCTCCATTACACACAAACATACACATGCAGAGCAGCAGCCTGAAGAAAATCTGAGGTGACAGAACCCCCCCCAAGGGGCTGTGACAGAGCTAAACGCAGACAGAGACATTTATCTCGTCAAGACGACTGTGTTCCTCCAAATCAATGCAGACATGTTACATTTCCACAAGTAACACATCCCTTTAGGATCCATATCCATACATATGATTACATTTGGCTGTTTGCATCTTTGGTTTGGAATATAAATAAACCCGTGATGGTTCGGATACTAATACACATATTTACAAATGTGTAAATATTACACACTCTATGTGCCATAGAGTGTGGCTCTAGGGTTGCCAGTGTTTGTTTCACTAGTTCAAATAATTGGATTTCCATGAAGTTTAGTGGAAAATATTCATGGTGTGCAGAGGATGAATCCAGCTGATTTAACCTCAGGTCTGTGGGGGGGCCCTGAACGCTCAATGCATCGCTAAAAAAACATGCAATCGAACAAAAGGCAAGCAAATACAGAAAACATTGTCATATTTCTATTCATATCCATGTATTTGCAGCTCATGTATTTTCTCTGCGTGTGTTTTCTGTTTGCATGTGAGCTATCGGGCTGTAGCCTTGTCGTCTTGTTACTCTAACACCTGTACTCTGTAACACATTGAAACTTGTGATGACTTTATAGACTGGAGCAGCTCCTTGAATGAGCTTTCACTCTGTGGTAGCTCTGATACTCTAATTGTCTCGGCGCTGCACGGTGC